ATGAAAATGAACACACAACAACAGGAAATCTATGGGATGCAGCAAAAGCAGTTCTGAGAGGGAAGTTCATAGCACTACAGGCCTACCTAAAAAACAAGAAAAATTTCTAATTGTCTGTCTAACCTCACAACTTAAAGAATTAGAAAGCAAAGAAAAAGAAAATCCCACAGTAAGTGGAAGGAAATAGTAAAGATCAGAGCAGAAATAAATGACATAGAGACCAAAAAAACAATTCAAAGGATCAATGAAACAAAGAGCTGGTTTTTCGAAAAGATAAACAAGATAGATGGACCCTTAGCTAGACTCACCAAGAAACAAAGAGAGAGAACCCAAATACACAAAATCAGAAATGAAAGAGGAGAAGTAACAACCAACACCACGGAAATACAAAAGATCGTTAACAACTACTATGAACAACTATATGGCAACAAATTCGAAAATCTCAGCGAAATGGACAAATTTCTAGAAACACACAGTCTCCCAAAACTATTCCCGGAAGAGATAGAAAACTTGAACAGACCAATAACAACTAAGGAAATTGAAGAGGTAATCAAGACTCTCCCAGCAAACAAAAGCCCAGGCCCAGATGGTTTCACGGGGGAGTTTTACCGAACATTCAAAAAAGAACTAACACCCCTTCTCCTCAAACTATTTCAAAAAATTCAAGAAGAAGGAAGACTTCCAAACACGTTCTATGAGGCCAGCATAATTCTAATTCCAAAACCAGAAAAAGACACTACGAAGAAAGAAAACTACAGGCCAATATCCCTGATGAACATAGACGCCAAAATCCTGAACAAAATACTAGCAAATCGGATCCAGAAATACATAAAAAAAATTATTCACCATGACCAAGTGGGATTCATTCCAGGGATGCAAGGCTGGTACAATATTAGCAAATCAATAAATGTGATACACATAAACAAAATGAAGAATAAAAACCACATGATCATATCAATAGATGCTGAAAAACCATTCGTCAAAATCCAGCATCCATTTCTGATAAAAACGCTCAGCAATGTAGGAATAGAGGGATCATATCTCAACATAATAAAGGCCATATATGAAAGACCTACAGCCAACATCATACTCAATGGACAGAAACTAAAAACATTTCCATTAAGAACAGGAACAAGACAGGGATGTCCACTTTCGCCATTGTTATTTAACATAGTACTGGAAGTCTTAGCCACAGCAATCAGACATGAAGAAAAAATAAAAGGGATCCAAATTGGAAAGGAGGAAGTGAAACTGTCATTATTTGCAGATGACATGATATTGTACATAGAAAACCCTAAAGACTCCATCAAAAATCTATTAGACTTAATAATGAATTTGGCAAAGTAGCAGGATACAAAATTAACGTCAAGAAATCGACGGCATTCTTGTACATCAATGATGAACTCACAGAAAGAGAAACTGAAAAAACAATCCCATTTACCATCGCTCCAAAAAAATTACGATACCTAGGAATAAACTTAACCAAAGAAGTAAAAGACCTATTTGCAGAAAACTACAGGTCATTGAAAAAAGAAATAGAGGAAGATATAAAAAGTGGAAGAACATACCCTGTTCATGGATTGGAAGAATTAACATAATTAAAATGTCCATACTACCCAAAGCAATCTATAGATTCAATGCAATCCCCATCAAAATACCAACGACATATTTCATAGAACTAGAACAAATACTTCAAAAGTTCATATGGAACCAAAAAAGACCCCGAATAGCCACAGCAATCTTGAAAAAGAAGAACAAAGTTGGAGGGATCACAATACCAGATATCAGGTTATACTACAAAGCGACTGTAACCAAAACAGCCTGGTACTGGCACAAGAACAGGCATATAGACCAGTGGAACAGAACTGAAAACCCAGAAATGGACCCAAGGCAATACGCTCAATTAATATTTGACAAAGGTGGCAAGAGCATACAGTGGAGTAAAGACAGCCTCTTTAATAAATGGTGTTGGGAAAACTGGACAGCTACATGCAAAAAAATGAAACTAGACCATCAACTTACACCATACACAAAAATAAACTCGAAATGGATAAAAGACTTAAATGTGACCCGTGAATCCATAAAAATTCTAGAAGAAAATGTAGGCAACAAAATTTCGGACATCATACGGAGCAGAATTTTCACTGATACATCACCTAAGGCAACAGAAATAAAGGAGAAAATGAACACATGGGTCTACATCAAACTAAAAAGCTTCTGCACAGCAAAAGAAACAATCATCAAATGGAAAGGCAACCCACTGTATGGGAGAACATCATTGCCAATGATGTATCAGATAAGGGGTTAATTTCCAGTATATACAGAGTGCTCATACAACTCCACAAAAGGAAGACAAAGAACCCAATTAAAAAATGGGCAGAGGAGCTGAATAGACACCTCTCCAAACAGGACATACAAATGGCCAAGAGACATATGAAGAAATGCTCAACATCACTAATCATCAGAGAGATGCAAATTAAAACAACTATGAGGTATCACCTCACACCTGTCAGAATGGCCGCCATCAACAAATCATCAAACAACAAGTGTTGGCGAGGATGTGGAGAAAAGGGGACTCTAATACACTGCTGGTGGGAATGCAGACTGGTGCAGCCGCTATGGAAAACAATATGGTGCTACCTCAAAAAATTAAAAATTGAACTTCCATTCGACCCAGTGATCCCACTGCTGGGAATATACCCTAAGAAGCCTGAAACACCAATCAGGAAGAATATATGTACCCCCATGTTCATAGCAGCACTATTTACAATAGCTAAGATCTGGAAACAGCCCAAGTGTCCACCAGTAGACGAATGGATCAAAAAGCTGTGGTACATATACACAATGGAATACTATGCAGTGGTAAGAAAGAAAGATCTCTTATCCTTTGAGACGACATGGAGGGACCTGGAAAGTATTATCCTAAGTGAAAGAAGCCAAGCAGAAAAAGACAAATACCACATGATCTCACTTATATACGGAATATAATGAACATAACAGTCTGAGGAATACAGTAGACCCAGACACATGGAAGTAGGGCACAGACTGACATCCCTCAGAAGAGGGGATGGGGGGTGGGGGGTGGGAAGAGATAAACCACAGAACTTGTATGCATGTATGCATGACCAATGGACATGGACAACTAAGCCGGGGACAGGGTGGAGGGGGGGTGGGGTGGGGGGTGCCAATGGGGTAAAAAGGTAAATATCTGTAACAAAAAAATAAATAAATAAATAAAATTTAAAAAAAATAAAATAAAATCTTCACTAAAAAAAAAAAAAAAAACAAAAAAACAAAAAAACAAAACAAAAGCAGAAGCACAAAGGAGCACCCACCCTTACTACATTTTTCAATAATTCGGACTAGGCTTTTAGGCTGCCAAAGGACTCTTCCTTGCAACCCAGTGAGAGCATAGGAATGATGACTCAATCTGTCTCAAATAAATGTATCCTGTAGTTCCTTATCTATTGCTTTCACACTTAAAATATAAGTATAAAGCAATACCCCCCCAAAGTCCCACCCATTTTTAGGGAAACTCATAGTGATAACTGTACACATGCACCCAAATTGTCAATATAAAAATCTACCCCTAAACTGTGTTTTTAAATTTCACCCCAAAAGATTAGTATTGTATACAACTTTAGTATAAAGGATGCATTTCCACAAAGCTGAATGATTGAGAATGAGATTATACCTGAAGGGTTCTTGTTATCACTCTTGAAACTATAAGGAAAATAAAACTGGCCTGGCTGGTGTGGCTCAGAGGTTGAGTGTCGACCCACACAAAAGAGGTCGCCGGTTCCATTCCAGGTCAGGGCACATGCCCAAGTTGTGGGCCAAATCCCCAGTGAGGGGAATGCAGGATGTGGCCAATCAATGTTCTCTCTTATCAATGTTTCTACCTCTCCCTCCCTCTCTCTCTAAAATCAATAAAGAAAAAATTAAAAAGAAAATTGAATTTTAAAAACACAGCTAAATTGGTTTGCATTGTAACATTTGGACAAAAAGGCCTTGATAATTTAGTGTTTTTAAATGGAACACCATCATGAGTTTGATCATATATTGATCACACAACACCAAAGAACCATGCTGATTTTACATAGTTAAGTAAGAGTTGCAGAAAGATTCCTACTGCAAGTAGAAGGTCATGTGGATTACAGGTACCTTTCAGAATAGAACTGTAAATGTGAATTCCAATGCACACCTCATGCATTTGTGTTGGACCTCCCTCCCCCTCCAACCACACACTCCCAACTTGACATTGCATCCGACAAGTTTGCATTGTAGCTATCTGAGTAAATGATATCTGTAGACTCATTGTCCAGCATAGTTGCATACTAAGTACACTGTCTATTTCAAATGAATGTATACATCTTGAAACTGCAAGATAACTATGTGCTTCTGCTTTCTGTGTCCTGACAAGTAGATAAATTATTCCCATTTTATAGATGAAGTAAATCTAAACCACAAGTCAGGATTATTGGAATGGCTTTATCATGGATTTAGAGCTGTAGCAACAATAATGTATGGAATCAAATGGTTCCCATGAATACGAATGGGATAGATAAAATAAGAGAAATTGGGTGATCACATAGATATAGAAATACAATAAGAAATTAGTCACGATAAAAAAAATCACATAGCTTAAGTATTTAGACAGCAGTGCAAGATAAAACCTGACAATGAAATGAAGATTGGGGGTGGGGCATGGGGTGAGGCGACTTGGGTGGAAGAGAAAGGGGATAAAAGGATTCTCATTTTTATGTTGCAGTTTTTGGGAAGAGAGCCATGTCCTCTACTCTGTTCTTATATTATTTTTTATCCCACTATTATGGAAATAAGTCTTTGGTATACAGGTAATTTTCAGTCAACTAAATTCCTGTGGTGGCAAGAGGAATAAGCTAAACAATGGTAGAACCACTGGGAACAATATCTTTTATTTCCCTCTAAATGCAAAGGCAGATGAATGAGGTTTGGAACAGACAAAGTCACTTGGTTAATCAGATCCCCTGCCCTGAGGGGGAGATGGTTTCTTGCAGAATGAGGTGAAGGAGGTTGTTCTGCTCGGCACTCAATAGTGGCCACATCTCCACCTGCAGTGATTTGATGGCTTCCATGTCCTTCTCGTGGGTGGCCATGACCAAGGACTGGAGCAGCAGGAAAAGCTCTTCGGGAAGCTGGCCACTGGTCTCCTGCCCATGGCTGTCGAGAGCCTCCCAGGAGTACTTCTCCAGGGTATGAGCATGCTCCGGGAGGAGCTTGGCGGGCGGTGGTTGCAGGAGCAGCAGCAGCAGCAGCAGCACGCGGGACACCTCACAGCGAACCACCATCTCCCAGAAGGCACCCAGCAAGGCACCAGAGGTCGCGGCCTCAAAGCCAGCAATCGGAGGGCGCAGGGTGGCGGGCATGACTGCGGTCGCGCCGCGTCCGACCCGAGGCCCTGGCAGCTGCGACTGCAGCTGCAGCTGTGGATGCGACTTGAACTGGAGCGGGGGCGGCGGCCGCACCGGATGGCTGCCATGCTCCTGCGCCAGGCGCTGCATGCGCGTGAAGACTCCTAAGGCGCCATTGTAGTCGCGCGCCAGCAGCTGGCAGGAGGCGGCGTCGCCAAGCGCCTGCAGCGCGGCCAAGGGCAGCTGGGACAGCTGCAGCTGGGCTGCGCGCTGGAAGTGGCCGGCGGCGGCGGCCGGCTGACCCAGGTCGCGCAGGGCGGCAGCCAGCTCGAGGCAGAGGGCGGCGGCGGCGGCCGGCTGCCCCAACTCAAGGTGCAGGCGCACAGCGGCACCCAGGGCGCTGGCAGCAGCCTGCAGCGGCTCCCCGTAGGCGGCGGGGCAGACGAGGCGCTGGCGCGCATCGAGCTCCTGCCGCAGGAAGAGGCGGGCGGCCTCCGTGAGCGCCAGAGCTTCCCCGGGCCCGTGGAAGAGCGCCTGATGGCAGCGCGCAACCGCCAGCTGGCACCAGGCCGCGTATGGCAGGCACTCCTGAGCACGCAGCTCGCGGCCCATCTGTCCGAACTGCTCGCCGGCCTCCGCCACGTTCGGCTTCCGCAGGAACCGCTTCTTCAGCTTGTTCAACACCTGGCGATACCTGGCCAAGAAGTCCCCGACATCGGGCCCCAGACCCGAAAAGCCACTTAGGCCGCTCGAGGACACCGCCATGTTCCCTGCGTCCTGCTTGGGCCTCACTTAACGCAGCGCCCCCACTGCAGCCCCGCACCCCCTCGTTCCCATGGTGATATGCAAATATAGGCGCCCTGGGGCAGGGACTTGCCTAGTGCAGTAAGCATAAACAAATCACCTACCCAAGGGCAGGATCTGGCTAGGCACTCTCTGTTGCTAGGTGACAGCTTGTTTATCCAGATTGCTATGGGTATCCCAGCATCTCTAAAGAAAGAGGACCAATAAAAAAAAAACAAAAAACAAAAAAACTAGTGATTATGCCTGACCTTCATTCCGATTTTGCAACTTTCTTGCTTGTCCCTCCCGTCACTCCTCAATCGTCCTGTCAAAGCCACTGCCCCACTGGAGTCCATGCCAATTGCTCTGTCCACCTCTCCATCCCGGGTTGACATTGCACGTTCACCCTATCATGATGCCTTAGTTATGGTCTTGCCCTCCACTCCAATGAACACCATCCTTCCGGGAACTTGGCTGGGCTCTGACTTGCTCAGAGGCAATGAGGGAGTCTTCCACATCCCAGCCTCACCCCCACCCCAGCCAGCCTCTCCCACCCTGGGCCACCTCCTGTACTGTCACCATGAGAGGCTGCTCCTCTCTTGCCATCCCTGACTCCACCCACCGCCCCAGGAAGACACCACCACCATTATCATCCCTCCAAGGAGTTATGTCCCACAACCACCTCCTACACAAAGTACTGAAGCAGGAACAAGGGTTTCTTTCAACACTTTATTTTCAATAACTTTGCCCAAGGCAATAGACAGGCCCAGGCTGCCTGGGCTGTGAGAGGGCATGGCATCCTAGGGTTGGGGCCCGGGGAACCCATGTTATGTTGGGCAGCTACTGCCAGCCCGGGGCCACTTGGGATATGGTGGTACTCCTAAAGAAGCCGCTGAGCAGTGCGTTGTTGTGGATCGCCATGTCCAGGAGCTCTGGAGTGATGCGCCTGCAGCCTCTCTTCTGGGCCTCGTTGCCTGCCAGCTCCAGAATGGTGGCGGTCATGTACTGGATGATGGCTGCTAGGAAGACAGGTGCAGATGAGCTGAGACGTTGGGCGTAGTGACCTTCCCGCAGGAGGCGCTCCAGGTGGTTCACGGAAAAAGACAGGTGGGCTCTGGCGGTGCGGCTGCAGTTGCGAGTGCGGATCCTCCTCTGGTGATCGGACGACCCTCCACGGCTCCTTTGCCCAGACATGCTTGGCGTTGGGTGCACTTTCTCCAAACCGCAGTGTGGTTCAGTGCGGTAAGGTGCGATTCGCCAGTTGGTCTCAACCGCTCAAGATAGCCGGTACAGAGGCTCCTGCTCTGTATCCTAGCGACCATGGACTGGCTCCTCATTGGTCGAGGCACAAGCTGTGATACCTGTAAGTTCTGTGAGGTCACTGCTTTCCCATTGGCCCCGGCGGGCCTGGGCCTGCAAAGAAATGGTGCTGGAAGCACCCTGATCACCCCTGCTCGCTGGACTCTCTCTTGGAAGGAACTCGCACTTTCCACTGGACCAGAAAGTTGCAGGGAAAAAACAACAAACCTGTACGATCCAGTGCCACCACTGGATGGCCATCACAACTATCTACTTCCCAAACATTGGAACCACATCAAAAAGAAATCCCTGTACCCTGTCAGGCAGTCACTTCCCACTGCCCTCCGCCTCTCCCCCACCTCCGGCATCTCCTCTCCTCCCCACCTAGATCCCAGGCAACCATGAACCTGCCTCCTGTCCATACAGGTTTTCCTATTCTGGAGACTTGTAGAAATGGAATCATGGGATAAATAGATGGTCTTTTGTCTGTGGCTGCTTTTGCTTAACACAATGTTCTCATTATGATTCACCCACGTGGTAGCATGAATCAGCACTTCATTGCCTTTTCATGGCTGAATAACATTCCATGGTATGGACGGACAACACGTTGTGCATCTGTTCGTCACTTGATGGACGTTTGGGTAATTTTCTCCTTCTGGCTATTGTGAATAGCACAGCGGTGAATATTCCCGTACAGAGTTCTGTTTGAACACACGTTTTCAGTTCTTCTGGGTATATCTGGGAGTGGAATTGCCAGGCCACATGGTAATTCTATGTTTAACTTACAGAAGATTCATCCAAGTGATTTCCACAGCAAGTGTATGAGGGTCCCAACTTCTCCATATCCTCACCAAAACTTGTAACTGTTGCCCAGTCCAAGGTCATGGGGATTTGCATCTGTGTTTTATTCCAAGCGTTTTATAGTTTCAGCCCTTAACTTTAGGACTGTGATCCATCAGAGTTAACATTTGTACGTGGTGTGATATTGGGGCTGATATACATTCTTCTTTTTTTTCAATTTAATTAATTAATTCATTTTTGTTACAGATGTTTCTCCTTTTCCCCCCACTAATTCCCCCTTCCCCTCCCTCCCCACCCTACCCCTGCTTTGTTGTCCATGTCCATTGTTCATGCACACATTCATATAAGTACTGTGGTTTATCTCTCCCCCACGACCTCATTTTCTGGGGATTGTCAGTCTGTACCCTACTTCCACAACTCTGGGGCTACCCCATTCCTCAGACTGTTATGTTCATTATAGTCCACAAATCAGTGAGATCATATGATACTTGTCTTTCTCTGTTTGGTTTGTTGCGCTTAAGATGATACTTTCCAGGTCCCTCTATGCCGTTTCAAAGGATAAGAGATCCTAGTACGCCATTGTGTATATGTACCACGGCTTTTTTATCCATTCGTCTGATGATGGATTTGGGTTGTTTCCAGATCTTAGCTATTGGAAATAGTGCTGCTACAAACACGGGGGTACACATATTCTTTCTGTTTGGTGTGTCAGGCTTCTTAGGGTATGTTTGTAGAAGTGAGATCACTGGGTCAAATGGGAGTTAAATTTTTAATTTTCTGAGGTAACACCATATTGTTTTCCACAGTGGCTGCACCAGCCTGCATTCCCGCCAGCAGTGTACTAGAGTCCGCTTTTCTCCACACCCTCGCCAAGACTTGTTGTTTGATGATTTGTTGATGGCGGCCATTCTGACAGGTGTGAGGTGATACCTCATTGTTGTTTTACTTTGCATCTCTCTGATGACTAGTGATGTTGAGCATTTCTTCATATGTCTCTTGGCCATTTGTATGTCCTGTTTGGAGAGGTGTCTACTTAGTTCCTCTGCCCATTTTTTAATTGGGTTCTTTGTCTTCCTTTTGTTGAGTTGTATGAGCACTCTCTATATATTGGAAATTAACCCCTTATCTGATACATCATTGGCAATTAAGCTCTCCCATACAGTGGGTAGCCTTTCCACTTTGATGACTGTATCTTTTGCTGTGCAGAAGCTTTTGAGTTTGATGTAGTCCCATGTGTTCACTTTCTCCTCGGTTTCTGTTGCCTTAGGTGATCATGTATCAGTGAAAATTCTGCTGCGTCTGATGTCTGAAATTTTGTTGCTTACAGTTTCTTCTGGGATTTTTATGGATTCATGAGTCACATTTAAGTTTTTTATCCATTTTGAGTTTATTCTTGTGTATGGTAAAAGTTGATGGTCTAGTTTCATTATTATTATTATTTTTTTTTTGCATGTACCTTTTCATTTTTCCCAACACCATTTATTGAACAGGCTGTCTTTACTCCACTGTTTGCTCTTGCCACCTTTGTCAAATATCAATTGAGCATATTGCCTTGGGTCCACTTCTGGGTTCTCTGTTTTGTTCCACTGGTCCATATGCCTGTTCTTGTGCCAGTACCAGGATGTTTTGAATACAGTGGCTTTGTAGGATAACCTGAAATCTGGTAATGTGACCCCTCCTACTTTGTTCTTCTTTTTCAAGATTGCTGTGGCTATACGAGGTCTTTTTTGGTTCCATATAAACTTTTGAAGTATTGTTCTAGTTCTGTGAAGTATGTCGTTGGTATATTGATGGGGATTGCATTGAGTCTATAGATTGCTTTGGGTAGTATGGACATTTTAATGATGTTAATTCTTCCAATCCATGAACTAGGTATGTGCTTTCACTTATTTTATATCTTCCTCTATTTCTGTTTTCAATGACCTGTAGTTTTCTGCGAATAGGTCCTTTATTTCTTTGATTAAGTTCATTCCTAGGCATCTTAATTTTTTTGCCACGATGGTAAATGGGATTGTTTTCTTAGTTTGTCTTTCTGTGAGTTCATCATTGGTGGATAAAAATGCCGTCAATTTCTTGACATTAATTTTGTATCCTGCTACTTTGACAAATTCATTTATTAGGTCTAGTTCATTTTTTATGGAGTTTTTGGCGTTTTCTACATATAGTATCATTTCATTGGTGAATAATGACAGTTTCACTTCCTCCTTTCCAATTTGGATCCTTGTTATTTTATTTGTTTTTTTTCTGTCTGTCTGTTTTGGCAAAGACTTCCAGTACTATGTTAAATACGAGTGGCAAAAATGGGCATCCTTGTCTTGTTCCTCTTCTTAAGGGAAATGCTTTTAGTTTCTTCCCATTGAGTATTATGTTGGCTGTAGGTCTTTCATATATGTCCTTTATTATGTTGAGATATGATCTCTAGATTCCCACATTGCTGAGCGTTTTTATCAGAAATGGATGCTGGATTGTGTCGAAGGCATTTTCGGCATCTAGTGATATGATCATGTGGCTTTTATTCTTCATTGTATTTATGTGGTGTATCACATTTATTGATTTGCGAATATTGTACCAGCCGTGCATCCCTGGGATGAATCCCACTTGGTCATGGCGAATAATTTTTTTGATGTACATCTGCATTTGATTTGCTAGTATTTTGTTCAGGATTTTGGCGTCTATGTTCATCAGGGATATTGGCCTGTAGTTTTCTTTCTTCGTAATGTCTTCTTTGGGTTTTGGAATTCAAATTTTGCTGGCCTCATAAAATGAGTTTGGAAGTCTTCCTTCTTCTTGAATTTTTTGAAATAGTTTAAGGAGAATCGGTGTTAGTGTGTTTTTTTTTGAATGTTCGGTAAAACTCCCCCTGAAGCCATCTGGGCCTGGGCTTTTGTTTGCT